GCTGGCAACGTCTTGGGATGCTGTGCCCACCTCCGTGCTCTCTGTGGTGTTGCTTTAAGCCTCCTGCGTGGGCATGGAGAACGCGTGGCTTGGTCTGGTATACTCTTCGTGGCTCTGGGCCCAGCACCAAGCACCTTGTAGGACTTTCAGGAATCTTTGAGACCTGCCTAATGGAGAGACACATCTTTAGTATGGCCCTAGGTCCATAAAAGCGCTCAGAAGGGACATTGACCGAGAGCCAGCGTGGCACGTGCGTGGGAAGAGCACTGTCCAGGGAGCCCAGGCCCAAGGTTCTATCCTGGCTTGCCCGGCGACTTCCAAAATAAGCCATGTCGCCTCGGTTCCCCCATCTGTGGCATTAAGGAAAGGCTTGCTGGTCCTAAAGTTTCCACACACTGTCCTCATCTTTGCTTTCTGGCCACCTCTTGCCTCGTTCTGATTTCCGGGACACCTCCTCCGAGAGGCCCTCCCTGACCATTCAGGCCACGGCAGCCCCCTCCTCCCTTCTCCCAGGCAGTCTCTACAGTGTCACCCTGTTTGTGGTCTCCGTCTGACCGTTTCCTGTTTGGGTATTTTTCCACTTGCTTATTAACTCTCTCTCTGAATAGGATCAAAGTTCCAGAGTAGCAGGGAGCCTGTCCAAGCTCGCCTCTGCTGCTCCCTGCTGTTTCCAGAGCCAGGACTGAGCAAGATGGTCAACTGATGTTTGCTGAATGAATAAGTGACTCGTGAACCCTTTTCTGTGTCATGAGATATTCTTCAAAAACCGTGTTTATATTGGCTACGAGTAATCCAAAGTGTGGGTGTATTAAAATATATCAAACCAATTCCCTATCGTAGACAGTTAAATTAATAACTCCCATTCATTAAGCACCCAAGGAAGATCGCTTTTGTTTCCCTATTTACCGTCTGTCTCCCGCATGAGCACGTCAGCCCCAGGGGAGTAGGGACCTTCTCTTCTGGTGCATCACTGTCCCCACCCCAAAAGCACTGTCTGACACACAAGTGCTGTTCGAAGGTATTCATTAAAGAAAATAAGAGCTTTCCTCCCCCACCAGAACGCTTTCAATTATTTTGTTCCTCCCGATGGTTCGACATTTTCAAAGTTGTTTGTCTACCAAGCAAATACTTTTATTATGTACTAATTCACTTTCCTATTTTAAACAGTCAGTTCTAGCTACAGCCCTGCCATTTGGACAGCTTCTGACCACCACGAGAGAACTGACGTCACCATGTGCCACTGATGTCATTCCAGATCACCACAAAGGAATGTGGAGTGTCAGTCAGCGCAAGTGACCTTGTTGGGAGTCACTACACCATTCCATGAGACTCTTAGAAGTTGCAAAAATGCTCAGGAATCCACAGACAATCTCGGTCAACCTGGAGCCCTGGGGCTTCTGGATTGTACATCCTCACTCTTGCCAGGGGTGCTGGTGCCAGAGAGATCACCAAGCCTTTGTCTCTCTCCCCTCTCACCACTGAAGGCCACTGCAGAGACCTCCAGACCAGGCTCAGTGCCAAGGTCACCTAGGACCACTTCTGTTGTGTTGCCTTGGTGTCTGGCCCCCCAAACACATGGAGTACAGAAACTTGGTTGGGCACAGAAGCCTCACTGTGACTGTGCAAAGCCAGTTCTAATGGCACAATATGCACCATCACTGATGCCAAGAAATCCTGGATGTGCCCCTTGGGGCACCCCCCTAAGGGCAGCCACGGCCTGCGCGTGGAGCACTCCTGGCTGCTAGCTGAAGGAGCTCAGGACCTCCAGCCCGTAAAGGACATTTGGTGAACGCTTTTAGATCCTAATGACTTTACTGTGCTTCCAAAGTATTAAAAACACGTCTGCGAAGTACCTTAAGACTCTTCAAAGGATTCCCACGAGCAATATCTCCTTTAAGCCCAATTTAGAAGGAAGAAAGAGCAGATGTCATGGAGGCCAAGAAAGATATTGTAACAAGTCTGAGGTCTACCAGCAAGCAACATGGCGGGGAGCGGCCAGGAGTGGAGCCTCATTACTCACACCACGCTTTAGCCAGAGGATGCAGCTGGGGACTGTGTACTAGAGGTGGTTCAGAAGTTAGGAGCAGGGTGACCCCCTACAGTTGGGCAGGGCGCCCCCTCCGAAGGAGCTAATCACATCTTAAACATTGTAGATTTGTATGTTTATTCCATTGCTCTGGACTGCAATAAAGTATCTATTCTAATAAAATCAGTATATTATAACACTTTTCCAGCAGATAGCGCCTCGGGGAAGAGGCTCCTTTTTCTAACCTGCATAGAGGTACTGTCTGAGGGAGGCCCGGACAGAGGCCACTCATACTTGGGAAGCCTGTACTTTTCTGGGGAAAACAGAGAGAAAGAGTGGTGGTCTTGCTATGCCCCCCAAAATTCAGCTGCTCCGACAGCAGAGGAATCTGGGGAAGGGAGCGTGCAGGGTAAAGGTATCTACAAATCGGTACGACAAGAGGTGATCTAAGAGGAAAATGGGCGAAGGGCATATCATGATCACGGATGAACATAGGAAGGTGGGTTGGGGATATTTGTCACTGTCCGTCCGACATAGTATCCCAATGCCCACTGCCGCTTCCTGAGTGTGTAGACTGTGCCAGGTACTGGGCTAACTGCGGTTCATGAATCATGTCATTTTTCCTTCTACAGCCCTTTGAGAAAGGAGCTTCTATCCCTTCTAGCAGTTGGGGAAACTGAGGTGAGTCTGGCCCACAGGCATGCTTTTTTTTTTCTTTTTAAATCTGAATATCTTGGTGGGGCAAGCACTCCCCAGTTGTCACAGTTCCATCATCCTTTGTCATAACCACACTCACTTAAAAATATAAGATTTCTTTAGCAGCTTTACTGAGATATAATTCACATACCACATAATTCATCCACGTGAAGCCTACAATTGAATGGTTTCTAGTATATTCAGTCATCGCCACATCGATTTTAGAACATTTTCATTGCCTCAGGAAAAAAACCCTGTATCCTTTTAATGCCCAACTCTCTCTCCCTCTATCCTTCCACCAGCCCCAAGCAATTATGTATTAATCTACTTTCTATCTCTACAGATTTGCTTATTCGAGACCTTTCGTATAAATGGAACGAGACAACATGTGTACTTCTCTGTCTGGCTTCTTTCACTTAGCATAATGTTTCCCAGGTTCACCCACATGGTGGCATGTATCAATACTGCATTTCTTTTTAGGAGTGAATAATATTCCATCGTATGGATAGACCACATTTTGTTTATCCATTCATCAGTTTGAGAGATTATGTTTTCCTGATACCATATGCCAGTCCCTGTTCTAAGTGCTTTCCCTCTCTTAATTCTCACGACACCCTTACGAGGTAGCTGTTATTATTATTGCCTCTGTTTCACAGGGAAGAAAACCGAAGCACAGGGTGATGATCTGATTTGCCCCAGGTCACGCAGCTCGTGAATACTTGCTTGGCCGCTGAGTGTGTAATTCCCAGGGGCACAGGACCCCTCCTTTCATCAGGGTCTTCACGGGCAAGTCAAACATACTTCAGCCCACTCATTTATCCCTAAGTAGAATCCAAAATGGCACACAGAGAACCCCCCGCCCCCACTTCACCCCCCGCCCAAACTTGGCTCCTTCTCCAGCCTGTTCAATCACCCCCTCAGTCAGGAACGTTCTGGAAAGCCACTTCCTCAATACAAACACCTTATTCGGCAAATGATATTTGGTCAACAAACCCCTTCAAAGGGTGTCATTTGGGCCTGTAAAATAGTCATTATTTGGGACCTCGCTAATTCAATATTTGTGATCTTTTCGAGAGGCTGTGCCGGGCTAGAGAGTATGATTCGGTTTAGCAAACTTTTCTTCACTATGAATTACAAATTCATAGTGTAAACAGAGTTGTAGAAGGCATGTTTAAACAAAGTGTTTCCAAGCCTTCTCAAAAACTGCAGAAACACCCAGGAGCAACCCAATAGCTGAGATGCAAGTTATACCCAACTCTTATTAATTCTTCAGGCGGGTCCACCAAAGACCTGACAGGCAGCCTTGCTAAATGGGATGGTGACAAGACTCTCAGGACTCAATGTGCCATGACAGCCTCCTTTCAAAATATGTGATATTTCAGACTCACTCTCTGATTCTCCGAACTAGCCCTGGTCCTCAATGTCATTTCTTCTGAGGAAAAGTTTGTTTCTACCCATCAGACAAATTCCACTGACTGGATGGTGAACCTGAAAGACATTTAAGATCGGATCCTAAGAAGGACCAGCAGAAAAGGGGCTCTGGAGGGGGCTTCTGAACTTGGAGACCCCCCCCTCCTTCCCCCAAACCCTATTATTCTCCCACAGAGAAATTCGCCTAGCTGAAAAGTCTGAGGACAGGGTGACAGCCTGCAGCCACTCTAGACCAGCACTCGTATCTTCAGCCTGTCGAATCCTGGTTGCCTTTGATCTAGTCATTTCCTGTGGTCCAGCAAGCGAGACCGAGAAGGGAGAGTCTGGAGTGGGGAGCGTCTGCCGATCCCACTGTTTCCAAAGTGAAACCTTCCACTTCTTCCTAGAATCTTAGGCCCTGGGTTGTCAAATGTCATGGGTTCGTTCTGCCCCACTCTGTCCCAGTTTAGGAGTTAATTATTTTAAAGTAACAAAGAGATTTCAATCTTCTGCCGCTCTTTAGAGGATGCCTTTTATCCTGTCCACAGAGCAGCTCCAGTGGTATTCTGTGGGAGTGGGGGGTGGGGTGAGAGCAGAGACCCAGCAAAAGGCAGAGGTTTATGGCCCACTGAACCTTGGCCTCTACCAGCCCCCCTGGTGTGGATACAAAGGGTACCAGAGAGGGAGGCCAGAGGACCGCGCTCAGAACTGGCCTCCTAACTGGCTTTGCAGCTGACTTCTCTCTGGGCTTGTTTCTCCTGCTTCAAAGCGGAACATTGAGCTGGAAGGATCTGCAAACAGCTTTCGACTCATGCCCTAATTCCAATCCCTTGGTAGAGGCTGCCTGGAGGGAGGTGTTGAGAAGGATCTTGAGGGTTAGCAGGATCGAGCAAACTGGGACCAGTCGGTAATGTCTGCTTCGAGCCCAGGAAGCAGAGCGGTGGCACATTTCCTTGACATCGTTTGCCGCTCCCGACATTGGATATCCAAAGTCCTCTTGGGTTCATCAGATCTTGTGTGGTTTTATGATTCCCCTTGACCGCCGTTTTCTTTGCGTTCCCAAGGATCTGTTTCAAGGGCTGTTCCCACCCACCAGGAATTGACAGTGGTCTACGGGCCATTGCTTATAGGATTGAGCCATGCAACTTAGAAACAGCCAAGGGCAGAGGAGGCCAGCTCTCCCTGAGACTAGAAATAAGCCCCAACAGAGAGTCTTTCTCCGTCGACACTGAACCGAAACCCGCAGGGCACAAAGCACAGCCAATGTGGATGACCCCTTCCAAGATTACCCACTACGAGACAAATGCAAGATGTGGCCTCTGTCCACTCGATTTACGCAGGGACGACTGAGAAAGCCAAATACCGTCTGAAAAAAAGTGAGAAGAATTTTGAGCAGAGGCCGGAGCTGGGAATGGGATGGTCTCCCTGTCTGGAAAGCAGAGATGGTAATTGTGCCTCCTCAGGGAGGGGTCGCTGTGACAGTGTAGTGAGCTAATGCATGCAAAGTGGAGCCTGGCACCAGCACTCAATGCCTATAAAAGCAAGCCAGCTCTAGGATCGCTCTTTGGTGACAGTGGGCCTGCGGATATTAACATCTATTCTGACACCAGTCCTCACATCAGCAGGGCGGGAGCCAGCTCTCTCACCACCGGGGCCCTGCATCGGCCAGTTCCCGTAACATGATGAGTCGTTTTTTCATTCCTGAGATGTCTACCCATGGGTGGGTGCGTGTGTGCATGAGCGAGTGCGTATGTGCCTTTCAGAGCAGAGGAAAATCCATATTCTCTCTCTTCTGACCGAATTAATCAAATAAATCTTCTGTAAGGAGCTGCTAAATGAATCACAGATGTCTCTGCCCTTTTACAGGTTGCAGAAAGCACCCGTTACAGTTCTTTTAATTTATCAGAGGAAAAAAGATGCCCTCGTGTGCCCCTTCCCGCTTGCAATAATAATCAGAACCAGTCTATTTTCCAAGGGTCCGAGACTCATTTTCAAAAAATGTGTATCAATAGATGTAACAGCGGGAAGATTATTTTGCCAAGTTCCAGCCTCCAGCACAGCAAAGGTGCCCTGGCTGGGGAGAGCGTTTATAAAACCACATTTAATAAAAGAGTGTTATATTAAGTATGTTTGTGAGTGTATTTAAGCATATGGTTTCCATATCAGGCGTAAAGATGGCAAACACATGGTTTACCTTCTTTCTAACCTTTCCTGGAGACGTTCTTTCTAGGGGGTGGCGGGATGGGAGGATTTGGGGGTGGATGCGGGTGAGTGTGCGTTGTTTTGTTTTGCTTTTGAAAATCCTGGCTCCCATGGAAAAGCACTGAGGAAGGTTCAGAAAACATGTGAAGGCCCTCTGCCTTCTCTATTTCTGTCATGCGCCCAAGAAACTTGCTTTGCTGGCTTTCTTCAACTGGCCCGACATTCTCCCAGCTCATCGATGCCTCCTCCAAGGAAGGCGCTGGGCGCTGGCCGACTTTAAAGTGTGAATCAGTTTCAGCTGCAAAGAACTCGAGCTCCTGGATTTTAAACGTGAACTCTTTGGTGAAGCGAGAGCTCCAAGAAGGGCTGCCCGACTTGGTGTCCAAGAGGCCCTGTTTACCAGCAAGCCATCCAGCTCTGGGATTCGTCTGCCCAGAGACCTGCCTTTGGGTACGTGGACTGAGAACTGAGGATTTAGCTTTGGCCTTTAGGTCGGAGGCAGTGGGCTGTGGCTCTGTAGGCCTGAGGTCCCCGGAAATGCAGCAAGGAAAGGCCTTCACCGCCCACCACTGTAAGACAATCTACTCGATCCCTTGATTCTGAGACAATTCCGGAAACCAAAATGCCAAAGTAGGAAGGGGATTGAGTCGGGGCATCTGCAGTGAGGCCGCCCTGCCCACCCCCACCAGCCCGAACAGATTTGCCCGAGCGAGTTATAAATCTACTGGTACCATTTCTTTTTCGTCACTTGCCTAATCCTGTGCCCTTCGTTTCATGTGCTGTAATTATTAACATCTGCTTTCCGAGCCCGGACTGCGTGGAGTTTGCAAAGGCAGTTTGCAGTCCAGAACAATGGTGACAGCTGTTTCATTTAGCCTAGGGCCAGCACTTCCT